GGGGTTTCACCATGTTAGCCAGGATAGTCTCGATCTCCTGACCTCGTGATCCACCCGCCTCGGCCTCCCAAAGTGCTGGGATTACAGGCTTGAGCCACCGCGCCCGGCCCGTTTTTTTTTTTAAAGATAGCTTTTTTGAGGTATAATTGGCATATGATAAATTGCTCATGTGTAACATGTATGATAGGTTTTGATACGCATGTGCACCCATGAAAACATCACCATAATCAAGATGGTGAGAAGCCTTCCCTCTCCCTCTCTCTCTGTCTTTGTAATTGATTTGTTGGAGACTCTGGGCTTGGTCGTGCGTGGGTTTTGCTGATTGCATCCCCACGTTGGCATGTAGTCGAACATGGTGTGCCCACGCCCACGAAGTAGCCACTCGGTCAAGGTCACGAGGTTTCCTTTCTCCTCCTGGGCGCCTGCTTTTTCAGTGTGGTTGATTTCCTGCGGAGGCCGGGTCTGCTGGGCGAGGCACCCGCGGTCCAGGTGCTGCTGCCATGTCCCTGTGGCCTCTGGTCTCTGTGCTTCCCTAAGTTGGGAGGTGTGTTAGGCTGTTCCTGTGTTGCTATAAGGAAATACCTGAGACTGGGAAATTGATAAGGAAAAGTAGTTTAATTAGGTCATGGTTCTGCCATACGGGAAACATGGCGCCGGCATCTGCTCAGCTTCTGGGGAGGCCTCAGGGAGCTTTTACTCGTGGTGGAAGTGGGTGCAGGCGCCTCACGTGGCTCGAGGAGGAGTGAGAGAGGGTGTGGGAGGTGCCAGACGTCTTTAAACAAGCAGATCTCATGGGAACTCATCCTTGCCCAGGACCAGGAGGACGGCACCAACCCGTGAGGGATCCACTCCCGTGACCCAAACACTCCTGTCAGACCCACGTCCAGCACCGGGATCACATCTCAACAGGAGGTTTGGTGGTGGGAACACATCCAGACCACGTTAGTAGATAAAGCTAGAAACTGGGCAAACCTGGGCTCAGTGTTCCTGGCAAGACTGTTTCAGCAGTGGCAATGTGATCTCTCCCCGGGAGGCACCCGAGGCTGTCTCTTGGGGGTCAGTGCCTGGATACATGAATTCCCCAGTGTCATGTAATGATGATGGTCACGAACCTGTGTGCCTTGTTCATCTGTTTGCTGGGGTGCTTCCATAAAGCGCAATTTCCTCACCTGTTAGCTGGCGACAGTGGCACAGCAGTGTGTGTAGGGAAGGCAGGATGCTGTCCCCTTGTTTGCCAGTTTCAAAATAACTTGTGGACTTACTGGCATCATCCAACATGGCCAGTTAATCTCCTTTTTAGTATCTTAGGAACTCTGGACTTGAATGTATTCACTGTGTTTCAGCCTCTTCTCGTATACTGGTGCTCAGATTGTCTCCTCTTTCTTGTGGGAGCTTCCGTAGGTTCATCCTGCGTCATTCAACGAGAGCCCCTGGCATAGGCTGTGTTGTGCTGCTACAGCAATGCCCCAGGCTGGGCAGTTTAGAATGAGCAGCATTGTGCAGGCGCCTCGTTCTGGAGTCTGGAAGTCCAGTTCAAGGTGCTGGTGTCTGCTGAGGGCTTTCTTGCTGTCATCCCATGGCAGAAGGTGGAAGGGCAAGAGAGGAGGGAAGAGAGGGAGGGAGGGAGAGAGAGAAGAGAGGGAAAGGGAGGGAGAAGGAGGGGGAGGCAGAGGGAGGGAGGAGAGAGCGCACAAAAGGGGGCCAAACTCACCCTTTTATTTATTTTTATTTATTTATTTATTTTTTTTTTTTGAGATGGAATTTCGCTCTTGTTGCCCAGGCTGGAGTGCAGTGGTGTGATCTCGGCTCACTGCAACCTCTGCCTCCTGGGTTCAAGCGATTCACCTGCCTCAGCCTCCCAAGTAACTGGGATTACAGGCGCTTACCACCATGCCCGGCTAATTTTTTTGTATTTTTTTAGTAGAGACAGGGTTTCATCATGTTGGCCAGGCTGGTCTGGAACTCTTGACCTCAAGTGATCCGCTCACCTTGGCCTCCTGAAGTGCTGGGACTACAGGCGTGAGCCACCACGCACGGCTGACTCACCCTTTTATAACAGATCCTTTTATAAAACAGCATTAAGCCATTCCTGAGGGCAGAGCCCTCACAGTCCCACCACCTCTCAAAGGCCCCACTTCCTAGCCTTGTACATGGGCAGTCAGATTTCAGCGTGTGTTTGCAGGGATGCACATTCCAACTCTACACCCCAGTCTTCCTGGGCAGCTTCCTTGCTACCATGGCAAGAGGAGCCCAGTCCTGGATTCAGCCACGTCTCCTCAGGGAGCCCTGGCTCCTCCGTGGCTCTGAAGAGGGAAGCACATCGCTGCAGTTGTGAGGGGGACCTGAGTGAGAGACAGCGACTTCTCCTGCCTGCAAGGGCAAGCACACCTTGGCCGTGAGCAGGGCTGTCTGCGCCGGCCTTCAGGGGCTGCCTCAGGCTGGCTGGGAGGGAGAGAGGAACTGGGAGACACCGGAGAGTCTCAGGGGAGGTGGTGGCCGTCCTGTTGTCTGGAGAGAAGCAGCTGCTGTTGCCCCGTGCGGCTATGGCAGGGCTGCAGGATGAGCCGCTTGGGGGGTTGCCCAGCACTGGGGGTCGTTCTCACCCCTGGCACCCTCACCCTCAGAACTGTGCAGAGAGCTCTGGGCTGGTTTTTGTATTTCTGACACAAGTAAGGATGCTGATTTTGGCCTCCTTCTCTTGTCGTTCATCCAACGCTGCTTTTCCCGATGGGAGACACTAATAGGTATGAGTTCTGGAATATTGAGCTAAGGTAGTTGTGAGAAAATGTAAGTTTACTTCAGTTTATCCTGGTAGCAGCTAACTTACATAGCAGTCTCAATTCTCTAGAATTGATGTTGGTTTCAGGTAGATGTGAAATTTTCGACATAATTTTCCGTTTACTTATACAGCCATTTGTTCCAGCCTCTGGTGAATGTTTGCAATAATTTTCAGCAAAACTTCCTGAGCTGTGTGTGAACCTCGGATGCTGAACACCTCGCTGAAGCTAATCTGCTTTCCGACTGCCCCCATGACTTTTTTTTTTTTTTTTTGAGATGGAATCTCGCTCTGTTGCCCAGGCTGGGGTACAGTGGCGTGATCTTGGCTCACTGCAAGCTCCGCCTCCCGGATTCAAGCGTGTCTTCTGCCTCAGCCTCCCGAGTAGCTGGGATTACAGGTGCCTGCCACCATGCCTGGCTGATTTTTGTATTTATAGGAGAGACGGGGTTGCACCATGTTGTCCAGGCTGGTCTCTGAACCCCTGACCTCAAGGGATCCATCTGCTTTGGCCTCCCAAAATGCTGGGATTACAGGCATGAGCCACCACACCCTGCCTGCTCCCATGACTTTTCCCAAATTAATGTTTTATTGTTTTCTTACATAACTGTAGATAATGCTTTTAATATTATTTTAATTTTATTTATTTTAATTATTTATTTGTTTATTTCGAGGCAAAGTCTCACTTTGTCACCCAGGCTGGAGTGCAGTGACACAGTCTCAGCTCACTGCAGTCTCCACCTCCTGAGTTCAAGAGAGTCTCCTGCCTTACCCTCCCAAGTAGCTGGGACCACAGGCGTGCGCCACCACGCCTGGATGATTTTTATATTTTTAGTAGAGACAGGGTTTCACCATATTGGCCAGGTTGGTCCCAAGCTCCTGGCTTCAAGTGATCTGCCCACCTCGGCCTCCCAAAGTGCTGGGAGTACAGGCGTGAGCCACCATGCCCAGCTGATAATGCTTTTTAGAAACAACTCTTCTTATAGGGGTGACTTATTGGTCTGTTATTCATTGATTGATCTTATGTTATAAATGCTTCCTTTCATTTACTTTTTGAAGTCATGTTTGTGATGTGATAATTTATTTTACTAATTTGCTTACATGTAATTTAGATTGAGTTTAGGATGGTGAATGGGTATTTTAAAAATGTTTTTAAACCACGAAACTTCTGGAAGCTAAGTATGCCCAAATTTTGTTCCCTTTAGAGCTTCAGTGTCCGTTGGATTTTTCCAAGAGAAAGTCCGTGGAATTCCTTACACTGTAGATGTGGATCAGATATGGTGATTCAGTAGAAGAGCACATGCCAGGGGCAGTGGAGGCTGGCTGCTGAAGGATGAACGGAGAGGAAGAATTCTTTGATGCCGTCACAGGTGAGTTGAAAGAGAACCAACTAGGGACGTACTGGAAGGGTGAGCATCCCTGGATTCAGATGTTGGGCCTGGCATTTGGGGTGTAAAGATGCTCAGTAAAGCAGTGCGTGGAGCATTCAGGATCCCAAACGCGGACTCTTCAACAAAATCTAACGTCCATCCCAGAGGTGGGAAAAGCCTTGCCTTCGGCTGACAGGATTTAAGTCTTCCCAAGAGTGTCCTGGGGTGCAGATAGTTTCATTGGTTTTCTGAGATGGCCATCTTTTTCTCTTATTCCTGCATCATGATGAGAACGTTCTGGATATAATGGCCCTGTCTTGCCTGGCACTGCTTGACGCTCCCATCAGACAGCAAACCCTGGCTCCCTAGCCACACTCATAGCCGCAGAGCACAGTTATTGTTCTCTTTCGCACGATGGTTTAAAGTGGCGGCCTGCAGCCTGTGGTCTAAATGAAATCCTGTGGCTTGATTGAAAAGAATGTATTTTGGCGTCCAGTCACTCTCATGGGCATGTGACAGGCTGGCTAGAGGGAAGGGCGGGCAGGGCTTTCAGCTTGGCCTCCCAGAGCCGCCCCTTCTCCTGGCACAGGGAAGAGCCTGAAACCCTTTGAGCTTGTGTCTGTCAGGTTCTCACGTTCATTCTCCACTCTTCTGTGCCTCAGAGTCGGCATCTGGAATTCCGCTTGTTTTTTCTGGAAAGGACCATTGCTGGTGGGCAGGGGCATCAGGAGATTCCCTTGGATGTTCCCTTGTCCTTAGGTGTCAGGATCAGAAAGGGGAGTGGCTTTGGAAATGCGGCCACAGGCCGGGAATTAGTGACCATCTTTAGAAGCACTTCTGCAGTTACTGCCGCGCAAGGATCTGTCAGGGTCTCTGTGGCCACGCCCCAAGGACACGTCAGATGGCTCCGTTGGCACCTCCAGTCTGTGGCCCTGCTGGAGTGGGTGTGTCAGGAGGGTCTCTGTGGCCATGCCCTGAGGACACGTTGATGGCTCTGGTGGCACCTCCGATCTGTGGCCCTGCTGGAGTGGGTGTGTCAGGAGGGTCTCTGTGGCCATGCCCTGAGGACACGTTAATGGCTCTGGTGGCACCTCCGGTCTGGGGCCCTGCTGGAGCGGGCTGAGTGTTCCGAGGCTGTGCTGCTCCCATACCTGCGCTGGCAGCCCAAGATGGTTGACTTACTCTTATTCAAGACCCCAGGAGAAGGGGATGCTGCACTCCTTACCGGCTTCAAAGTCTGAATTTCTAAGTCATTTTCCATGATTTCGTAGCCGGATTATCTGCAGCGTGTTTTCCTCAGATGCACTCTCAGAGGAGGGTCTGTGGAGCTTGCACCTCATCCGTGGTCGTTCTGTGTTCTCTGCTGAACCCCACACAGTGGAGGGGTTGTCAGGCACTCACATCCTCAGGTTGCCCTTGAGTGGGGTGCCACGTCTGTCACTGAGAGCGCAGCTTTGAGGTCCCTCCTCTCCTGGGAGTCTCATAGGATGTCCTTTTTGTCTGGGGTCTTGGTGTGACTGATACTTTCCCAAATACCTCTGAACTGGTTTTTTTTTTGAGCCAGAGTCTTGCTCTGTCGCCCAGGCTGGAGTGCAGTGGCATGATCTCAGCTCACTGCAACCTCCTCCTCACGGGTTCAAGCAGTTCTCCTGCCTCAGCCTCCCGAGTAGCTGGGATTGCAGGCGCCCACCACCACGCCCAGCTAATTTTTGTATTTTTAGTAGAGACGGGGTTTCACCACGTTGACCAGGCTGGTCTTGAACTCCTGACCTCAGGTGATCCGCCCACCTCGGCCTCCCAAAGTGCTAGGATTACAGGCATTAGCCACCGTTCCCGGTCACCTCTGAGCTTTTTGAGTCAGTTTGCCGTGACTTCCCAGAGGCCCCAGCAGTGTGTGATGTGGTGCTCAGATGGACTCCACTGTTCTAGGAGCCACAGGGTGTACAGGGCTGTGGGGCACTGCTCCTGCACGGCAGGGCCTCTCCATGTGTCCCCAAGCATGAGATGGAAGGGACAGATATCTAGGTGACAAGAATTTCTCCCCTCAATTCTTGGCCTTCAAAACAAATAATGGAAGGAAAAAACCACTTCATCTCTTAATGCAATGGAATACCTGTGTTAGAGGCAGACTCTTGACTCCTTCACCGCCTATAATATCCATCTGACTTTGTAACTCTGATTTCAAAAGTATGTAAACTAAGCAGTTATTAAATGAATGGTCTCGTTAGGCATTTAATTTGTCTTAAGAATCAGTGCCATTCAAAGGAAAGGTTTGGAGGGCATGAACAGTGTGTATGGGATTAAGGGCTATGAACGCAGAGGGACTAAAAAAAGCGGGGTTTCCGAGGGAGCCGATGATAGGAGATCTCAGCTTCCTCCTTTGCTCGTCTGTATTTTCTGTTTTTCTACAATAAATGCATGCGGTGTCTTAGAATGTTATTAGGCCATCCGTGTAGTGTTGGCTGAGTCAGAGGCTGCAGTGGCTGCCAGGGTTGTGCTGCTTTATTCTTCTGGACAGGGGCAGGTCCCACCCCCCGGAATTCCCTTAAGTAGGGAATGTTTTCAAGATAACTTCAGAGTGAGGAGTTAGAGATGTTGCTTTTGGGACAGAGCGCAAAACATGAGAGGTGGCAGGCTATTTCAGACACTGTGGGCCATTTCAGGATTCCTTTTTAACCCATCCTCTCAAAATCACGATGTCATCCACCCCAGCACTGCCTTTATGGATGAACTCTGCCGTGTGGAGGGATAGGACACAGCAGCTTTGCTTTGTTCTCGTGGAGCCTCTAGCAGGCTTGTCCGCATGTGGGGTCCGACCGCAGTTGTCTGCCTGACCCTCCTGGGCCTGTGCCCATTACGTGGAGCCCTCAGCCCCTGGAAGCATTGGGTGGTCGCCGGCTCCTGCAGGCCCAGAGCCCCCACGGAATTGACTCATCGCGGGGCCCCAGCCCCCACTCCACCCGGCTCTGGTGCAGAACTTGGCCCTTCCAGCGACTCAGACTGACAGGGGTTGAAGGGAGATGTATGTTCCTGTTCCCTAGTCGCCCGTTCTGTCCTGGGGAGGGGCCCACCCTGCCAGGGCAGCGGCCGGCCGTTCTTCTCCAGGACTTTTGCTCCAGGAGCACGTGCATGGCTGGATCTCACGCAGATTCTACAGAGCTCCTTCTCCAGAGTCCTCCTTCATCCGGAGTCCACTCCGAGTCCAGCCACATGTGTGGCGCTTCCGTGACTGTTCCCTAGCTGGGTACAGGTTCGTGGTGCCTTTGCCTGCCACGATGGTCTCCCTCGAAACATTGTCAGCAGGCGTGTTTCAGACCAAGGTGCAGAGCTTGGTCACAAGCCCTGAGCCACAACGGGCACGTTGCAGCCTTGGGGTGGGTTTGAATCCGATAGAAGTGCCCCACCCAGAGCATGCAAGTCACAGATAAAAATGACGAAAGGTTCCTGTGGGAGATGAAACTCGTGGCCTGGAACTGGACCTCAAGTCACAAGTGTGGGAGGAGCCTGGGCGCTGGAGCTCGCTGGGAGTGGCCTTTAGGTGGGAAGCTCCCTGGTGTGCCCCTATTCTCTCTGCACCCTGTCTACTTCTGTCTACTTCTGGGGAACCAGAGTTAATTCTTCCACATGTGTCCATTCAAACAACTTAGAGCTTTAGTCATCTGCTTGCATAGTCAGAATTCTTGGAGGCAGGCTTTTAAAAAATCTTCCAGGTCCAGCGAAAATTACCATTTTCTTGTCTCGCACAGGCTTTGATTCTGATAACTCTTCTGGGGAATTTTCAGAGGCACATCAGAAAGTCACGGGAATGATTGACTTGGACACCAGCAAAAATAATAGGATTGGGAAAATTGGGGAGAGGCCCTCTCAAGAGAATGGAATTCAGAAACACAGGTATGTTCTCTCACTTCTATTGTTTCTAAAATGCGTCTGTAATCAGCCCAAAAACACTCTTCAGGGTACCCTCAGCCCTCACGAGCATTGAGCTGGAGCGGCATCCCCACGGCTGCCTGGCCTTCCCGTCTGGACAGCCTCCTGTGTCCGGCCAGCAAGCGTTCTGAGAGACTTCATGCCTCTCTCGGCTCCGGGAATCAGCAGATGGCAATTTTATGAGCAGTGCCTTTCCCCATCTAAGAAATGCCGCAAACAGTACATGGCGTTTTGATCATCAGACCCCTTGCTGATTTCCTACAGATACTCCTGTTCTTCCATGGGCAGCCACGTTCATCCTCTGTCTCATCGGAGTTCTATTGCGGTGTGTTCAGCTCTGACCCCTACAGGACGAGAAGGGTTTCATTTGCTTGATGTAGCAAGACCCCATTCCCTTTCCTCCTCCACCACGTTCGTTTTCATGTAGGTAGAGTCCGATGACAGTGGCCATCATGAGAAGTCTTCAGTCCTTGGCTGGGCGTGGTGGCTCATGCCTGTAATCCCAGCACTTTGGGAGGCTGAGACAGGTGGATCACTTGAGCCCAGGAGTTGGAGACCAGCCTGGGCAACATGGCAAGACCCCACCACTACAAAAAAATTAAAATAATTAGCTGGGCATGGTGGTGCACGCCTGTGGTCCCAGCTACTTGGGAGGCTGAGTCAGGAGTATCCCTTGAGCCCAGGAGTTTGAGGCTATGGTGAGCTGTGATGGCGCCACTGCACTCTAGTGTGGGCAACAGAGCAAGACCCTGTCTCAAAGTCTCAGAAAAAAAAAAAGCAAAAAACAGGAAGAAGTCTTCAGTCTTTGTTGATAGAAGCACGAGCCGGGCGCGGTGGCTCATGCCTGTAATCCCAGCCCTTTGGGAGGCCGAGGCGGCCGGATCATGAGGACAGGAGATCGAGACCATCCTGGCTAACATGGAGAAACCCTGTCTCTACTAAAATACAAAAAATTAGCCTGGTGTAGTTGTGCACATCTGTAGTCCTGGCTACTTGGGAGGCTGAGGCAGGGGAATCACTTGAACCCGGGAGGCGGAGGTTGCAGTGAGCTGAGATCACGCCACTGCACTCCAGCCTGGGTGACAGAGCGAGATTCCATCTCAAAAACAACAAAAAAAAGGCCGGGCCCGGTGGCTCAAGCCTGTAATCCCAGCACTTTGGGAGGCCGAGACGGGCGGATCACGAGGTCAGGAGATCGAGACCATCCTGGCTAACACGGTGAAACCCCGTCTCTACTAAAAAATACAAAAAACTAGCCAGGCGAGGCGGCAGGCGCCTGTAGTCCCAGCTACTCGGGAGGCTGAGTCAGGAGAATGGCCTGAACCTGGGAGGCGGAGCTTGCAGTGAGCTGAGATCCGGCCACTGCACTCCAGCCTGGGTGACAGAGCGACACTCCGTCTCAAAAAAAAAAAAAAAAAACACGAAGTCAGGACAAGTGTCAGGTGGGGCAGGCAGTGGCCCTGGAGCTGGTGGCATTGTGTTGCGGGCTCCAGCCACAGCTGCTGATGTGTGTCTCAGCTCCAGGGAGCTGCTCCAGCCTGGCCTCAGGCTCTCCTTCGAGCTGCAGGCCCACACCCCTGCTTGGTGGTCCACTCGGGCGCCCACGTGTGCATCTCACCTGTTGTTTGTTCATTCTCTCACCCCACAGATATGGGAGCCCCCACCCCTGCTCCTTCTGCGTCCCTGTTTTCTAGCCCTGACTCTGGCCATTTTCAGTGCTGTTGGGTCCTTCAGTTCTTCTGTCTTCTCTGCCACATGCCTGTCTACCCAGCCACCCGTTTCCAGAGTGACCTCTACATCCCTGCCTTTTATTCCAGCTGTTGTGCAGAGGCATTTGTGTATATATGTATTTATTGTTTCTGAGACGGAGTCTCACTCTGTCACCCAGGCTGGAGCAGCTCCAGTGGTGCGACCTCGGCTCACTACAACCTCTGCCTCCCAGATTCAGGTGATTCTCTTGCCTCAGCCTCCCAAGTTGCTGGGATTACAGGCATACATCACCATGCCTGGCTAAGTTTTGTATTTTTAGTAGAGACAGTGTTTTGCCATGTTGGCCAGGCTAGTCTCGAGCTCCTCCAGTGATCCACCTGCCTTGGCCTCCCAAAGTATTGTGATTACAGGTGGGAGCCACCATGCCCAGCCCAGAGGCGTTTTTCAAAAGACAGATCTGAACCCCCTACTCCGTCACCCTCTGCCTAAAACTCAGGCAGGATGGCCACATGGCCGGCCTCACACTCCTGGTCCTACAGAGCTGTGAATGGTGCCCTGTTCTACTGGAAGAAATGACCCAGCTTGGACAGTGCACCATGTGGTCACTCACCTCTTAGGATGAAGGCCAGCACCCTCACCTAGGCCCTCGGGCCCAGGCCTGAGCCCTGTTGCCTCCTGCCCCAGCTGCAGGGGCCTCTTTCAGGTCCTCTGGTGCATCAGCTCCCTCTGCTCCCTTGGCCTGGGGCCTCTCTTCTCCTCCTTCATGTCTGTAGCTCCTGTGCATCCCATCTCCATGCAGGGTTATATCCTTGGGGGATGTGACCTGGCCCTCTGCAGAGCCACATTCCCCTCCTGGTAGCACCCCCGAATCACAGAGTATTCCCTGAATGAGCGCATGGATGATGGCAGAGCAGAGCTGGGTGCTGGCTTCCAGCAGCCCGGGCCTGGCACTCAGCAGATGTTCATTTTATTTTCCACCCTGCCTCACAGCTGCCGTGTCCTCTCCCTCCTGCCCCCTGACACCAGTAGTGTGTCCTGACCCAGCTGCCCTGATGTGGCATTCCCGGGGCATAGCTCAGGAGCAGAGCAGGCAAAAGCATGTGCTTTCATCACTCCAGAGGTCAGAGTGTCGGTGTCAAGGTTTTGCTGGGTGCGAGGCAAAACACCCCTCAAAGCAGCTTCCATGAAATGGGAGTTCAGCAGGAGAGCCCTGGGGTGTCCCTGGAGGGCTGTGAGCAGCAGGGAGCCCTGGGCCCCCACTCTGCAGCACCTTCTTTGCACCCTCCTCTGTGGTGTCCTGTGTGGGTTTGGCACGCCTCTCCCCAAATCCAAGTTTATGTCTCCATTCAGGCACTCCCCTCCTAGATGGAGACAGTGTCTCATTCCAGCTCCACGTTCCTGGCGGGGAGTCCAGGGACCCGGGTCAGTGGTCCCCAGGTCGATCAGCAGTGAGCAGTGGTGGGGGTGAGGGTCTCCTGGTGCAAGCGTGGTGGCGTGGGCTCCCCCTTGCAGCCGACTGGAAGATTACCTAGAAAGAAATGCTCCTCAGGAAGGCAAACACGAATCTAAAGGACTGAAAAGCTTTTAGTTCGGGTCACTCTTGGTGCCCTCGTGGCCTGACCTCTGCCTATGGTCTGGCTGCTGCCCCAAGGACCCACCAGGAGCCCCCAGAAGGCTATGAACTGTGCAGGCAGAGGGACTCCCTGCTGCTGCCCTGTCTCCCAGCTCTGGGAGGAAACAACAGCACGGCCACTGTGGGGCCAAGACTGCAGAGCCAGCCATCTTTGTTGTCATGACCATTCCTGGGAGGTCCTGGGAACATGGGTGTGGAAGGCCTCTCGCAGCAGCCATATCCGTGTATCCCTAGGCATGCCAGAATGCAGAAATGCCAATGTTTAAGTGTCAGAATTAAAGAGAAATGGTCATTGAGTGCAGCCACCTTGAGTGGTCGGAGTCCTGTGTTGAATTCACCCACACACACCCCTTTCATGCCCCATAGGACGTCACTGCCGGCTCCCATGTTCAGCAGAAGTGATTTCAGCGTGTGGACCATTCTAAAGAAGTGTGTCGGCCTGGTGAGTCCGGGGGCCCATGCTCACGCGTGGGGCTGCACCACTGACTCCTGGGAAGGTATTGCAGTGCTAGTGATTTAAGAAAATGCGCTCTTGCCGGGCACATGCCTGTAATCCCAGCACTTTGGGAAGCTGAGGTGGGTGGATCACCTGAGGTTGGGAGTTTAAGACTGGCCTGGCCAACATGGAGAAACCCCGTCTCTACCAAAAATACAAAATTAGCCGGGCATGGTGGCGCATGCCTGTAATCCCATTTACTTGGGGGGCTGAGGCAGGAGAATTGCTTGAACCTGAGAGACGGAGGTTACAGTGAGCCGAGATTGCGCCATTGTACTCCAGGCTGAGTGACAAGAGTGAGATTCCATCTCAAAAAAAAAAAAAAAGAAAGAAAAAATGCACTCTCATGTTTATAAACAGCATGAGATTAAGACAGTAAAACAGGCAAAGAACAAGCACGTCAGGGGAAGAGGTGTTCTGTAGGTGAAACGGGACATAGGAACCATCCTGCAGGTACCCGTCCAGCCCTGTGTCCTGTGTGAGGTGGGTGGGGCTTCCGTGGCACCCTTCACGGCCACATGCTGAGCTGCAGGAGGGGCGTCAGCCTTTGTCAGGGGCTCAGGGTTTGGGACAGAAAAACTAGCTGGGTAATGAGGGCCCAGAAGTTATAGACTTTCCCTTTCATGATCTTTCCTGACTGTGAGAACAAGCGGTGCCTACGGAGGCGGGGAGTGTCCTGCGCCTTCTGTACCTTACTGGGTCCTGGGCCAGCGCTCAATGACTGAAAACTCAAATGGCCTGGGGATACACGATGTCACTCTTGCTCAGACCGTGTCTTCTAGTGCCGGTGATTTTTTGCCCTTATGTTTTAGTCCTTTTTTTTCCAGAGGGAACTTCATTTTTTCTCAACTTTTTATTTTGAAATAATTTTAGACTTAAGGAAAATCACAAAATAGCACAGAGCATTCCTGTAAACCCACCACCCAGCTCCCCTGATGCTGGCATCTCTCGGAGTAACCATAGGTCAGTGACCGAAGCAAGAAATGCATCTTAGCTCCACATGTCACTTGTATTTCCTCAGTGTCCCCAACATCCTTTCCTGTCCCAGGACCCTCATGGCATTTGGGCTTCTCCACTTGGTGACAGCTGCTCTGGTCTGTTACTTAGTGGACTTTTCCTTAATTTGAGTTTGTCTGATGTTTTCTTCTTAGAATGAGGTTCTGTGTTTTTGGCACACACAGTAGTGAGGTACCCTTGCCAGGGCCTGGTCTGAGGGGCTCTGTGATATCCACGTGTCTTGTTAGGGGGACTGTTAACCTGATCACTTGGTTAACCTGATCAGAGCCTGGTCTGAGGGGCTCTGTGATATCCACGTGTCTTGTTGGGGGACTGTTAACCTGATCACTTGGTTAACCTGATCAAGTGTCTCCACTGCAGAATTGCTGCGTTTCTCTTTGTAATCAGTGTTTTGGGGGAGACACTTGGATTCCGCTTGCTAATTGTGGCATCCATTGGTGGGTTTTATTGAAATCATTCTAATGGGGATTTTCTATTCTCATTCTGTCTTCTACCTTTATTAATTGGAATTGTTCTGTAAAGGAGAGCTGTCCCTTCTCCCCTAATTATGTATTTATTCAGTTATTTATTTGTATTAGTATGGACTCATGAGCATGTATTTTCTGTGAGTTGAATTCCAGTATAGTCCTTATTTACGTAATTGCTCAAATTGTTCTACCTTTGGCATTGAGAGTTCTTCCAGGTTGGTTTTCCCACTTCTGCTGAACCCCCATCCTTTTCTGAACACTTATTTCAGGCACTAAAGGATACTCTAGTTCAGCTTTTATTTTCCCTGCCTTAACCCTGGAATCAGCCACTTCCCCAGGGAGCCCATTCACTGGGTAATGGTGTTTAGAAGCCACGACCCGGTGCTGGGTGAGCTCATTGCTGCTGAGGTATCATTGCCTGCAGGCCCTCTCAGCAGATGGCGCTGGAAAATACGAGTGTGCTAATGCTCATGCATACACATCTGTATTTCTGTATATATCTGTATGTTTCTTTTAAAATAAACCATTTGAGATTTTTTTTCTCCTTCAGCAGTGTTTTTTGTACATTTTTGACTATGTGGCTAATTCAGGTCTTGACAAAAATATCTGTCTTGGTATAGATGATGAAAGTCTTTTTGTGAACTTGACAAACCACCTAATTTTGACTCTTTTAAATTCTAAGACAGGCTGGGTGTGGTAGTAGCTCATGCCTGTAATCCTAGTGCTTTGGAAAGCTGAGGGAAGAGAATCGCTTGAGGCCAGGAGTTTGAGACCAGAGCCTGGGCAACACAGTGAGACCCCATCTCTACAAAAAAATTTTTAAAATTAGCCAGGTGTGTTGGCACATGTCTGTAGTCCCAGTTACTCAGGAGGCTGAGACAGGAGGATGGCTTGAGTCTGGGAGTTTGAGGCTGCAGTGAAGCGTGATTTCACCACTGTACTCGAGCCTACATAACAGAGGGAAACCTTGTCTCTTAAAAAAAGTAAAGATTCTGGGACCAAAAGCATCTTTTCAACAACATGAAATGATGTAAATTGCATTCCCTAGGTGAGGGTTGTGGAGGGATTGAGGTGAAAGTTGCATGTGAGCGTGTAGGACTGGCAGGCGTAGTGGAAAGGTGCTGGGAGGGGCCTTGCGGGGTGGCTCCACCCCTCACACTTCACTTCGAAACACTCCCCTCTGGAGGTTTTGGTGGCACTCCTGTCTTTTTACTACTTCTCAGCTTGTATTGAAAAAACACAAGCACACTTGGCAGTATGGACAGTCCCAACACAGACAGACGTGGACAGACAGTGGCGAGCCCATGTCCCCATAGCTGGATCCACAGTGATTGGCTGTGGCTCTTTCTGGATCTGTACTGATTGGCTGTGGCTCATTCTGGATCCGCAGTGATTGGCTGTGGCTCGTTCTGGATCCACAGTTATTGGCTGTGGCTCATTCTGTTTGGTCCACACCCCCCTGCTTCTCTCCTCCCTCATATTTTAATTCCAGACATCTTTTTGTTTGTAAATATTTCTTACATATACTTAAAGGATAAGGATTCTTTTTTAATGTGACTATGATATTATTATACTTTAGAAAATAATTTTAGAAAGTTATTTAATGTCATCAGATACTCGCTCTGTGTTCAAATGTCCAGTGGTCTCACGTGTTGCTGTCTGCTGTTTGCAGTCCTGTGTGGACCTTGTTTGTGTCCCTCTGTCAGGAAGCCTTTTTGTTGCTTTTTCTCTGAATTTAAAAGCTGTGGGCAGGTCAGGCGTGCGGCGGCTCATGCCTGTAATCCCTGTCAGAGGCTGAGGCAAGAGGATCGCTCCAGGCCAGGGGTTCAGAACCAGCCCGGGCAACAAAGTGAGATCCGATCTCTACAAAAAATAAATAGCCGGGCATGGTGGTCCATGCCCAGGCTGCCAGCTACTCAGGTGGCTGATACAGAAGGATCGCTTGAGCCTGAGAGGTTGAGGCTGCAGTGACCAGTGATCACATTACTGTGCCCCAGCCCGGGTGGCAGAGCGAGACCCTGTCTCTAACAAAAACAGCTGTGAGCACTCAGAGCCTGGGTCCGTTAACTCAGGAGGACATGCTAGTTGGAGCTGTGCCAACGTGATCACCCTTTATTGATTGCCAGGGATATTTCTGTGGTGAGAGGCTCCACTTCCTTTGCTGTAAATGCAGTTTATGTAGGAAAGTCAGGACCAGTGAGCGATTCTTCCTCCTTATTGAAGTTTTCACATAATGTGTTCTTTCACTGGCGTCATCCAGTGTGACTCATGTAACCAGCTAGTTTGTCTTTTGTTTACCTCCTAGCATTTAACTTATTGATGTCTTCCAGTCCACAAATTGTTCCATCTTTGGTCAGTGAGAGTCTATTCAAGGTGGTCTGGAGTCCTTTACAAAAGGAGCTTCAGGCCTCTCCTGTGCATTTACTGTCTGGGGTGTGGAATCAGCTACTTGTCCAGGGAGAGAAGGAGAATTCAGGACCACAGCCAGGCTCTGAGGAGGCCACTGGGGTGGTCTTATTTCGAGGGCTGTTCCTACAGCTAGGAACTGTGTTTTTGTTTGTTTCGGTGATGCTTCCAATTTGGGCCAGCAGGCTCCACCTCACCTCTGCGGCCTCGTGTCTGCATCTCTTTTCTCCCTCACTGACAGTCCCAGTTTTCGGCAGCCCTGGCGAGGATAGATTTAGACCAGCACGTAGTTGTGACTCACTCACTTTGCCCCACATACCTGCGGGACCAGCTCTGCTGCTGACAGTGTCTTTGCTGAGATAGCGCATGTCTGTGGCTCCTGCAGTTGCCAGTTGTCTTTGTCCTCAGGGCGTATCTCAAATGCCTGCTTTTTTTTTTTTTTTTTTTGAGAAGGAGTCTCACCGTGTTAGCCAGGATGGTCTCGATCTCCTGACCTCATGATCCGCCCGTCTCGGCCTCCCAAAGTGCTGGGATTACAGGCTTGAGCCACTGCGCCCGGCTTAATTTTCTTTTTAAATTATGGGTCCTGCGTCAAATTTATCACGTAAGGTGTATTCCAGGAGGGTCGGGTTCCTGTCCCTGTGCCCTCCTGGTGCTCTCTGCTTTCCCCACAGGTGACCAGGAGCCACCATGTTTAGGGCACATCTTTCATGCATCACACAGCTGATTCTGTGTGTATCTTCTCCCCACTTCTTTATGTAAATGAGAGACTTTCTCCACCTTTTCAAATTTGGTGGTATATCTATAGCCATATGCAGTGACTTCTTAATTAATTAATGTTCATGCCATTCTCCTGCCTCAGCCTCCCGAGTAGCTGGGACTACAGGCGCCCGCCACCATGGCTGGCTAATTTTTTTTTTTGTATTTTTAGTAGAGATGGGGTTTCACCTTATTGGCCAGGCTGGTCTCGAACTCCTGACCTTGTGATCCACCCACCTTGGCCTCCCAAAGTGTTGGGATTACAAGCGTGAGCCAACTGCGCCCGGCCAAATGCCTGCATTTCCAAACCACCTGGGTGCTTCTTCTCTGGGTGATTGTGCCACCAAGGGAATGATGTAAGTTCATTCGTTTCATTTTTGATATTGAGAGATGACTTTTCTTTTTTTGAGACGGTGTCTTACTCTGTTGCCCAGGCTGGAGTGCAGTGGCACAATCTCGCCTCACTGCAAGCTCCGCCTCCCGGGTTCATGCCATTCTCCTGCCT